CAGCCAGGTTGGTGCTACAGCCTGCTGAGTTCTTTTCTTTGGACTGCCTTTCCAGTTCAGGGATCCTTGGGGTTCGTGTCACATCCTTTCAGATGATCAGGATTTTCTCAGTTCTCGCTCCACAAAACATGGCTTTTCCTTCGTAGCCTTGGGTCTTCTCTATGGCAAAGTGGTGGCCGGGCACTCCTATCCAGATTCTCAACTGCGCTCTTTCTGCATTAATCCTTACTAATAATTTTATTTAACTCGGGGAAAACTTCTAAATCCTCTCAAAAATACCAGTGTAAAAAAGAAACCGCTACATGTCATGTGTAGCTCTTCTTGTATCCTACAGCCCCCACTTGTCAGATTTGGGGGGGCAGGTGTCATCCTAAATCAGTGGTTCTCAAGAGGGCAGTGTCCCTACCAGGCGTTCTGAATTGCCTGAGAACATTTTTAACCAGAAACGCTGGTGGTTTTAACAAGCAATCTGTGTTCTTAAAAGCCCTTCAGATGACTTTAGTGCAAACTAAGATTCGAGGCTGCTTCTCAAACTCAATTGTTCATTTGTGCAACTTTTTCTTAATCTGTTGCAATGAAAATTGAAATCAGTTCTAGCTTACTGCTGTCTCAATTCTTTGCTAAAACCAGGACAGGTACAATTTATTACAATCTAGCAGTGTTTTTCTTGGATTTTAAGTCCTTCCATGTGCCAGTCGCCTCTCAAGTCCCATTTCAGTCAGATCTTCTTGCGAGGGTGGTAAAGGAAGGTTGCCTTCTCTCTTGCTCCAGTTCCCATTGTGGTAAGTAGGTTTTCATGGGCCCTGTGAAACCCTAAAGTAGATACTCACAGTATCTACTCCACAGGGTCCTGGATCCCTGGCCCCATCTGCTGCATCACAAATTTGGCCCCACACAATTCTGCCGCAGGTGGAGGGGAAAGCACTGAGAACCAATCTCTAGGGCAGGGATTCTGAGCCTTTGCTGCACAATACATCATCTGGTAGACTTTCAGGGTCCTGACGCCTAAGCTGCAGCTACACCAATCCAGTCAGCCACTCTGAAGACACTACCCAGGCATAAGAAAACTGCACAAGAGGTCTTAATGTGTGGCCAAGTTAGATAGCCAATGCTCTTGGAAAGAATTAGGACTCTTTCCACAGCAGGTGGCAGTGCTGTGGAAAGAGTCCTGGAACACACAGGGCTTCTCGGAGGTCAAAGGCAAGCTGTCAAACCCGTCAGTCTTGCAGCTGCGCAGTGACAGTGGGGGAATCTCGAAACAGTGTAGATGTCCGTGCTTTTTTTCTCTTTTATTAACACGCTCAGTACAGTGATCGCGCCTTGGTTCATATGCCAGGGAGATCCCTTCCACGCTCGAACAACCAAATGAACAACAGCACCTCTTATAACACTACACACACACAGAACTCCCCAAACCTCACGAATTATAAATGACTGGAGGCTGTTGGACTTGGTAAGTAGCTATGCGGTGAAAACAAGTTCTTCCTTTTCTTTCCAGATTTATCTACTTACTTAGCCCATGTTGCCCTTAAATAAGAAAAACATACATGATTGTCCCCTATGAGTGTCCATGACTTCAGTCAAGGAGACAATCAAGGACACGATCAAGATCTCAATCGGCACCAACTGAATTTCTGAAAACAGATTTCGTTTTTCCAGGAAAGGTCTGCCATCCTGTGGTGAAGTGTGGAAACGCAGGCTGTGTTCTGGCTGTGCCCTTGGAAAACTGGCCTGCAGGGGTGGCTCTGGAGAACAGCCCAACACAGACACTGAAAACCCACCTTGGCCTGCTCTTTATAACAGAGGGGAACTTCTTTTCTAACAAGCAATCCAGCAACTGCTTTGCTTCTAACACACTTTAAAAAACATCTCCAGGCAATAATATAACAAATTTGTATGAGATTTTTTTTTTATTTACTAATTTATACAGCACAAAATAACTTTTATGCACCCATTAGTTTGATGTGGAAAATAGTGAGGGAACATGATGTATAGAAAATCCTATTTCTAGCATTCTTCTCACCATTAAAATGTTTTTAAAAAAACACCACTGGATTGTAATAAATTGTACCTGTCCCACTTTCAGCAAAGAATTTAGACAGCAGTAAGCTAGGATTGGTTTAAATTTTCATTGCAACAGATTAAGAAAAAGGTGACAAAGCTAATCATGTGTATCACACATACACAAAAGGTACCTGCAGTGAGGGGTATGCAGATGAGCTCAGTCTTAGTAGCAGTTTGTGTTGTGTATGGAAATGTCACGTCGGACACTGGACAGTTTTTGTCCTTGCATCATTGAGGCTCAGGGAGGAGCTAACCCACAGGAGCCACTTTCTACCTCAGGTGGTACCCTAGAGATGTGAACAATTTTTATGTCAATTTCTAAAAATTCTTTTTAAAAAAAAAAAAACCTTCTCCCACTGCTAATAGTTGTGCACTCAGATCGTCTCTGTTCTCTTAGGATGGGCAGCCGACTCCACGTCTACCCAAATGGGTCCCTGTTTATTGGATCTGTGACAGAAAAAGACGGTGGTGACTACTTGTGCGTGGCCAGGAACGGCGCGGGGGACGACCTGACCCTGATGCACGTCAACCTGAGGCTGAAGCCCGCCAAGATCCACCACAAGCCACACTTTAGAAAGCAAGTGCTCCAGGGGCGGGACTTCCAGGTGGACTGCAAGGCCTCTGGCTCCCCCGAGCCAGAGATCTCCTGGAGTCTGCCGAACGGACGAAAGATCAACCAGGCTGTGCCAGCCCGGGACAGCGGCCACAGGGCCCGCAGGTACACCCTTTTTGACAACGGGACCTTGTACTTCCACAAAGTTGGGATCACTGAGGAAGGAGACTACACGTGCCATGCCCAGAACACCCTGGGGAAGGACGAAATGAGGGTCCACCTCACCGTGCTCACAGCCGCCCCTCGCATAAGGCGGGGGTACCAGACCAATGTGAGGCTCCGAGCTGGGGACACGGCCGTCCTCGACTGTGAGGTTGTGGGGGAGCCCAAGCCAGGGACATTCTGGCTGCTGCCATCTGGCGACACGATTTCCTCCTCCAGTGGTAGGTACACGGTTCACGCGAATGGGTCTCTGTCCGTCAGCAAGGTGAGGACGCTGGATTCTGGAGAGTATGTGTGTGTGGCCCAGAACCCCAGTGGGCATGACACCGAGACATACACAGTGGCCATCGACTGCAAGCCCCCAATGATCAACGGCATCTATGCCAACAAGACGGTTATGAAAGCCACGGCCGTGAGGCATTCCAAAAAGCACCTGCACTGCAGAGCCGAAGGGACGCCACCGCCCCAGGTCACGTGGGTCATGCCGGACAGCATCGTCCTCATGGCCCCGTACTACGGCAGCAGAGTCACAGTCCATGCCAACGGAACCCTGGAAATCCGGAACGTGAGGCTTTCCGACTCTGCCGACTTCATCTGTGTGGCTCGGAACGAAGGGGGAGAGAGCAAGCTGGTGGTGCGGTTAGAGGTCCTGGAGATGCTCAGGAGACCCACTTTCAGAAACCCCTTGAATGAAAAAGTGGTTGCCCAGCTGGGACAGCCCACAGCACTGAACTGCTCTGTGGATGGCAACCCGCCTCCTGAAATAATCTGGATTCTCCCCAACGGCACCCAGTTTTCTAACGGACCACACCTCTCTCCATATCTGGTAGCAAGCAATGGCTCCTTCCTCATTCATAAGACAACTCGGAAAGAGGCAGGAAGATATCGGTGTGCAGCTAGGAACCAAGTGGGCTACATTGAGAAACTGATCATACTAGAGATTGGGCAGAAGCCCGTTATTGTGACGTACGCACTAGGGACTGTAAGGGGCCTTGGTGGGGAATCTCTATGGCTGCATTGTGTGTCTGATGGAATCCCAAAGCCACACATCAAATGGACCACGCCAGGTGGTTCTGTGCTAGACAGGCCTCAAAGTAATGGCAAGTACACCCTGCACGAAAATGGCACCTTGGTCATCAAGGAAGCAATGGCCCACGACGGGGGGAATTATATTTGTCGGGCACAAAACAGCGTTGGCCAGGCACTGATCACTCTTCCAGTGAGGATTGTGGCCTACCCGCCCCGAATCACAAACCGCCCTCCCAGGAGCGTCCTCACAAGGACAGGAGTGGCCTTTCAGCTCCACTGTGTGGCCCTGGGAGTCCCCAAGCCAGAAGTCACCTGGGAAATGCCTGTCCACTCCCAGCACTCAAGGGCAAGAGAAGGGAGGAGCCAGGGGGGCGAGCAGCTTCACCTGCAAGGCACCCTAGTCCTTCCGAATCCCCAGACCTGGGACTCGGGGCTGTACAGGTGCACAGCCAGGAACGCCCTCGGTAGTGACTCCGCAGCAACTTACATTCAAGTCATCTGACATGAAACGAAAGGAGCACTGAACAAAGTCAACATCTGGACAGAATTTATTTTTTGGAAGAAGTTTAATCAAAGGCAGCCATAGGCATGTAAATGAACTTGGATACATTTACAATATTAAATTTACAATGGACATGCAAAAAAAAGACTTAAGTGCAGTATGAACTGATACTGATTTCTTGAATGGATCTCAACACAAACTTTTAACTTAAGGCACTTTTATTTTGCCAACAAATAACAAACATTAAGAGGAAATGGTCCACTATAAAATAACAAATGGCTAATGCACCTGAATTTTTCAGTAAAGAATGAACTGATTTTCTTTCTACTACCAGTTGCCTAGTGTCACCTTCTATCAGTGTTACAAGTATGGCACTGGGGACAGTCAGTGGGGCAGATTAAATCTACAGTCCTTATGCAAACTCACCATCTTGATGTATAAAGAGTTTGTCATTGGTTTATGAATATTTTGCTAAACCTACAGAAAACAAGCACTGAACTGTTTTGATGACAAATTATCATTTGTTCACAATGACAATTTTCGTTGATGGGGAATACAAAAACGTTTTAATAACTGATTTAAAAATACATGCAGGCTAATTTTTCCACCTGTAAAAAGCAATTTAGCACACACCATAAAATGTGAAAAGGGGCTGATTATATCTTTGTCCAAATCTGTCCATTAAAAAGATTTTAAAATACAATGAAGCTCCTTTATGACTAAGCTCTAGCTCGGGAACTCCTGGCTCAGAGCTGTTCATAAGGAAAGTTTTCTAGGGAGGAATCTTCCTCTTGCGCATTTCATTTCATTATGCAATAATTCTTTATGCACTGGGAAAATGTTTGGGAGAGTTTAAATTATTATATAATGAAGCTTCACTGTATTTAAAATTTGATCAACCCTACACAAAATGTTGCTTTTTGTAATTCACTATTTGTATTGCACGCTTAATTCAATCTGAATTAATTTGGGGGACATTATGATTTATTTTTCTAATTCTAGAGGCTGGGGTTTTCCAATATAATTTCTCCAGCATCTGTACCTATTATTTTAGGATTATAAGAGCCTTATAAATGGGAAAAAGCCATGGCTCTTATACAAATAGCTAAGGACACTGAGACACGCTGGCCCTGCCAGTCACTTGAGACATGAGGATGAACTCCCTTTCAGAGGTCACCTGTTTGCCACCAATCTGGGTATCCAGTGCGTGGCAAGAGATCAAAGGACACTTGGACAGTGATCTCCCTCTACTGCTGAACCAAGATGGGTAGGTAAAAGGATGGAGGCAACCTGATGAGGAACAAGCCTATGACGTAAGTGGTGTGTCCAAGGGGTCCTCACATCCAGGCGTTTTGATAGGGGTACCCACTTCCATTAGATTTCAAGGTCTTATCTTAAATGGGCTGGGGTCTCTGTATTATTAGTCTAATCTCTCTGCAACTTACCGAGCAAATCACAAGGTTCTGTATCAGGGCTTTCCCTTGTGAACACTTTAATGCAAACTAATGCATTTGCTACAAAAGAAACATGTCAGGATAGAGAAATATGACTAACTTAAAAGTTCCAATTGCTTTCCTTATAACACACAAGAAGAAAACAGCTCTAGTTTTTCCTAAACCTTCCATAGTGTTTCAGAATTATAGGGACTTACTCAAGACTTAGCTTCCTCACCTTAATGCAACCACAAAGGTACTCCCCATAGCTTTCATGTGCAAAATGATTAATAAATAAACTTCTGCAAAATGTAAAGTGCATACAAATGCTATGCAATGATAACACTCACTCCTCACACAGTATTGCCACTGTTTGCAATACTGAGCTACAACGATTAATGGTTCAAACTGAAAATTTGCCTTCAAAATACCAATGATTCTTAAACAAGGACCAAAAACAGAATAGGACTCACTCACTAGGCACAACTTTCATGTTTCAAGGATTCTGCCCATGAGTCACCAGACATACCCACCACTCCAGAAAAAAAATAACTTCATGAACTCTGAGTATGATTCTGGAGAGGGTAAAACCTGATCTATACAAGCAGCTGAAATGTAAAGGTACATCTTCTGAAAGCAGGTAGGATGTTAATTTAGTGAAAAGAATGGTCTTTAATGTTTTGGCAAAGTCTGTTCCAGCCCAGAGTAAACACCTCTTGGGGCAGGCTGGAGTGAATGTCTTCACAGTGTACAAAAGCAGTTCACACGGATGCTGCCATAGCACAGGAAGCTGACGTGAATTTGAGGTCATTGGCAGGAGTCAAACTGCAATGAGTAGCTCGCCCAGGAAGATGTGAATTACTTACAGAATGATTCGCAAAAGAAATGATCTACTTAAGTGGAACTAGCTACATTTTAAAAAAAGTAGTTCTATGTGGTCTGTTCATTGGACGAATCTATTCACAGTATGTGTGACTACATGTAAAATCATATGGCAAAAAGATGAAGTAACACAGAACATGGGAAGATATCCCCCACATGTGTTTTTTAAAATGCCCTGCAATTTTCACATTCAAAATTTTATGCATCTAAATCTAAAAAAATATTATATGGAATACTCTTAAGTTACACAAACTGATAATAATTTACTGTATTCTTTAATAGGAGCAAATTACCACATACTTGAACAAAGTTAAAATAGTTACTATTTCTTTATAATAAATTTAATGTATAATTTACTTGTGCTTTTTGCACCAGTTTATAAATACAGTATATGCAATACACAACCAAGACTGACACCAACATTAATAATTAAATTCAAAGTAGCAAATACTTACCATACAAAATTAACAGCAAATACACCTTTTATGAAAACCAGAGCCTTCTGGACTTTGGGGCCAGGGTCTCTGGAAACCATGTCAAGTCTGAGCTCTGTGGACTCTCTAGCCAGCTGCGAGATTTTCACTCTAGGTGGCATAAAGCTCTAGAGAACCAAATCTGGACAGTCATTTTCCCAAAACTGGCAGTAAATACAGGAACGATTCCACGGTGGTCCTTCCAGGTGTTTAAGGTTGACATATTGTACCTTCCTGAAGACTCTGGTCCATGCTCTCACCACTGAAAACAAAGTCAGGTGCAGCAACTTCCAAGAGGCTCCCATGGAAGTCATGATTGTAGAAATCACTAAGCAACAACCTGGTTCAGCACCTTTGACCACAACAAAAGCAAAGCAAAGTCCTACACAAATAAGAAAGTTTATAAAGTGCTCATGGAATTACAAATATTTCAAATTATAATGACGCAGATTAATGTCCAGTTGCCCATCACAGGTGAATGCAGAATGAATGGGTTGCTTCCTGTCAAGACCTAATCTGCCTTTCAAGTCAGAAGTTGGTCCAGCACAGTTGCAAAAGAGCAAAACAATCATTAATGAACCCATAAATATTTAAACCCACCATAATTCATTCTTTCTGTACCTAGAAGACTTTAAAAAAAAAGAAAAAGCACCAATTTCAAAGGTCTGCTGCCACCATCCGCGGGGAGGAGGTCTGCCTGAGCCATCAGCCACACTGCCAAACCTCCTTCAATGCTGAATGCAAAGCACAACTTCTCCTTTGCTTTTTGTTTAAACACCTCCATATGAAATATAAAATATAAGAAACCAAAGAAATGAAAGACCAAAGGGACATTCTCAGGATGACTGACACATTAACTCTGATTTTCTACTTTTCAGTGCAAACACAAAACTGCAGGTTGTCTTCCCGATTCAGAAGTGTGAAGGGTGCCCATAGGGAGTCACTCCTTGCTGCGGCTGGTTACCTATGAAAGAAAGAGTCACATGCCGTCACAGGTACAAAGTGTGCTGCAGGTAAGTGCTTTCCTCTTACTGCTCTCAGGACACCTCGGGTGCAGGGATCAGACCCACTGCCCACAGCACATCTCGCCCTGGAAGCCTCTCGTGGAAGATCCAACTAGCACCACCGAACTCAGCAGAGGACCCAGCTCCACAGGAGAATCCCACACCTGCTGAGGCGAGGCCTTGGGCTGGGGTAACTGGCCCCCCAGGGTGTCTCCCTCTGAGCTCACACAGGACAGGCAGTTCGTCCACCCAGACGAGGACTTACTAGAAAGCTGCTTCTGGAGCTGCCGCACCAGTGCGGCCGTCTGCTGCTGCTGCTGGGTCTGCTGCAAGCCTGGCCTGGGGAACTGCAATTGCAATAGGAGAAAGGACAGAAATTAGGCCACAGAGCCAGTCACTGAGGAACACAGGTGACATCCTGGGGTCAGATGGTCTGGAAGGCACCTTTCCATACTTCAAGACAAAAGTGCCATACCCAGAGTACACACATCAACGTTGTCTAGGCCCTGGCACATCTCATACAGAGCTGAAGTGCCCATCCACTCCAGAGAGCCCTCTGCCTTAGCTGGCATCTATTACAAGTCCTGATGCAGGAGGGCAACACTCCAGAGGGGCCTGGAAGTTCAGAGACCACTGTCCGCTCACCTCCACCAGGTGGCTAGATGATCAAAAGTTGCCCTTCTGCTCTGACACAGTAGCCACTAGCCAACACTTCCCTGTCTGTCCTGTCCCTTCAAGCCATCCTTAATTGGAAACAGCAGCTTTCAAACACTTGGGAATGATTATAGATTTGAAATGGTTGGTTGCAGAACTGTCTAATTTGATTAAAATGTTTGGGTACACGGTGCATAAATATCAAACTTATTCAGTAAATACTTAGCTGCCTTTCTATGTCCTTTAAAAGCCTGCTTCAAATAGAGAAACGCAGGCTCTTGCAGAGCCCAGGCAGTAGCTAGTATCCAGGAAGCTCATGGATGAGTGCTGGGACATGAATGGGGGTCTCCTGATGGCTGTAAGAAGCAGTGCACAGCTCAGGTGCTTGCCCAGCATGTGAGAGGCCCTGGATTGATCTCTAGCATTGCAACAACATGGCACAAAACGAAGGTGATCCTGAAAGGGTCTCAAAGGGCAATGGGGCTGCCCGGGGAGGCCATCTTCTGAGTTGTCAAAAGAGACCAACAGGGAGGAGCCAAAGAGCAACCACTCAAACCAGCTGCCTGTCCAGGTGACCACCATCCACCTCCTCCATCAAGGCTCCCAACCTCTCTTGTGACCTCTGTCACAGGGTGAACTGTGCCTGCAAAACAATATGACACAGTCCAACCCCCAGTACCTCAGAATGTGACCTGCTTAGCCTTTATAAAGGTGATGGAGTTAGAAAGAGGCATACAGTGGGATCTAGGCCAGGATGGTGTCCCCAAGAAGGCGAATTGACACAGGTGTGCATGCAGTGAGAAGGCCAGGTGAGAGCAGCGCAGAGTCCCAGGTCTGCAAGCCCAGGAGGTCAGAGATAGCCATGAGCCACGGGGGCTGTGGGAGAGGCATGGGTAGACTCGCCTTAGGCACTTAGGAGCCAGCCCTGGTGACAAGCTGATCTTGGGCTTCCACCTCCAAAAGCAAGGCACTGTCCATCTCTGCTATTTAAGCCACTGTGTTCTCTGGAGTAGTCCCAGCAAACTAAGACAGGCCCTGGGCCTCTTCTACCAGGAGCCCAGCAGCCACATGCCCCTCTTCACGTGCAGTGCTGCTGTTGATCACCTCCTGGGGCTCCTCTGGGGACAGGGACCATGCTTGGTACCTTTACCCCTCCCTCGAGAGGGCAGGAACCAGAACCCCCTGCCACAGTTGGCCCACTGCTGTTCCTACAGCAGAGGGAGGGACAGAACACAGTACATGGGCCAGTACCACACACTGGGTCTGCTCAGATGTTTATCATAAATATAAATAAATGTATTCCTGATGCATACGATATACCTAGTGAATCCTAAAAGATCAAAGGGAACATGTGGTTTCTGCTCATACGGCTAAGGCTTTGACCATTGCTGTTGTGAATGTGTAGCTGCTAGAGAGATGTTTTCTCCTTATTATATACTCTACTCTGTTATTGTGACAAGACCAAAAAAGAAGAGGAAAGATCTTAAACTCCCTCAGCAGAACAATGTCTGAAACTGTGAGTGGGATGACCACGCAGAGCAGCCGAGGACTGACTTCAGAGCGGTAGGAGTCACAAACACAGGACCGTGTTCGTGAACTTCCGAGTGTACAAACATGGGCATGCTGGATACAGCACACTAAATAGAGCCACAACCCAAGAGTCCAGGCGACTGACTGCCCCTGTAACTTCCAACCCTGAAATACCACAATCCAGGTCTAAACATCTAAAATTTAAAAAAACAATTTAAATTTCCTTGCCTACCCTAAGAATTATACATTTATAATATTTTTGTCTCCGTACTGTAATTGTAAATGTTATAGTCTAACTACAACATAGTGCTTTAAATAAAAAATAAGACATTTGCTTATCAAGACAGCATTAAAGTCTTCAGTTGAGAACAAAAGCCTCCTAAAAAGTCTGCTGTGGGTTTTACTGTCCCGCAAAATCACTATGAGTGACAATTTCTGTTTTTCTGACATTCTTTCCCATAAGCATGAGGAAAAAGTCATATGCCATGCTCCGACTAACTTGCTCAATCTGTAAGAGGTTTCAAGATAATCTCTACCCTTTCCTGTAAAGAGAGCTTTGAGACAGAACCAACTCTGTTACCATACACACACAAATGATAATGTATTCCATGTGAGGCACGTGGTGCTGATGTCCATCTGTGACTCAACGTAGCATTACCCTCTAAGAATAAACTAACTTCATATCCTTGATACATATTTTATATATTTCCTATTAAAAGTCAACCAGAATGAGGTTTAATAACAGAGGGTGAAAGGCCAAAGAGAAAGACCACTGGGAGAGGTCCTGCCAACGTCTGCATAATTGCAGGTATTGACCCAGGTGTTCAGTTGAAGCCAGTCACTACATAAGGACCTGTGCCCCCAGACAAAGGCTGGCTCTTTAAGAAAGTACAACAGTCTCAGGGCATTAGGTCACACCAGAATGAATAAATATGCAGATTGTCAATTTACAGGGAAAACACATGAATTGAATATGCAGATTAAATAGAGAGCTTATTATTTATAAGCCACATATCATATGACTCCCATAAGGTTATTTCTATACATGCCTCAATCAAAATTTAAAAAGCTGAATATGTGGAACACTCTACTGTCACACAGTCACAGACAGTGGAGGGCTCAGTGTAGCCTGCTTTTCTGTTAACAGGGGCATCATGCAACTACTTAGTAGCCAAAGAAATTTTAATTCTCAAATTATTGGATTCCCTATAATTACTAGTCAAGTGCCCATTCACTAATCTGCAATAAATGTCTGAGAAGGTGTAATTACATGATAGTTATTTCCACTAGAACTAACTTTGCATAATTCTGCTCCTAGTTAATAAGAGCACTACAGCGTGAGAAGTCTTGGTTTTAAATTAGAAAAAAAAAAAAAAGGCTAAGAATTTGCCAGGTCAGCATCAAATATTTCAAACACTCATTATGACATATTTTACAGAAACGTGGTTTATCTTTTGGCTTTCTGGCCAAACACCAACAGAGTGTTTTGTTGTATAAAAGAAGAAAGGAGTGAGGCTACTATGTGTCAGTACTGCTTGATGTCATAACATACCTAGTGGAAAGAGATTTTTAAAATCACCAACTTTAATCTAACTGATGCCAGTTAGAATACTGAGCAAAGTTGCAGGAAGAATTTAAATTCTTCCTAGAAGTTACAATTCAAAGGCCAAGGGCCAAATGTTAGACTTCATATTTAAAACATAACAGCTGAGCACAGATGCACATGCCTGTAATCCCAGCTACCAGGGAGGCTGAGGCAGGAGGATCACAAATTCAAGGCCAGCCTGGGCAACTCAGTGACATCCTATCTCAAAATAAAAAAATTCAAAGGGCAGGGTAGGATGTGGCTCAGGAGTAGAGTGCTCGCCACACCTGTGCAAGGCCTTGGGTTTGTCCCCAGCATGGAGGAAAATTAATAACACTAAAATAAAAACAACTTAGGGAAAGATCATAAAACAGAATACCAACCATTAAAGGCAGGAAATAGAGTGTGAAAGTCTCCATTCTGCCACCGCCGCATGACGGTGGATTCAGGCAGGAGTGACTTGACAGACGTTGACAGGAGCACATGAAGGTTTGGTGAGCAGCAAGATGAGCAGTACCCAGCTGCCCCCAAACTGCATGTTAATACAGCAGTCGTCAGTGGATCTGGGCAGGAGCAACCTACCAGGCACCACCCCCACACAGGGATCAAAGTCACATCCCCGATGAAGGACCAGTGTATATTCTAGTGTGACTCACTGAGAGGGACAATGACACCTGTGATGCGCCTCAGAAATGCGCAAGGTGATTCTAAACACAACTACCTATGCAGCTAAGCCAACAGAGCAATGTTCCATGTCTCAGGGGTGCCACCATCATGAAGACATGCGGGCCTGGGGCTGGAATCGGTCCAGGTGGAAGGTGGAGAACACACAAGAGCCAGACCCAGGGCAAGCTGATCCCAAGTCCAGAGAGACCAGTGCAGTTGTCACCACAGACACAAGGGCGCTGGCAGGAGACGTACAGATGAGAGCGCAGAGTCATGTCCTATTTCCTGATCTTAATAACCATATCATGCTTTTGTGAAAGAATAGCCTTGCTTTGGAGAAATAAACTGAGGTATTTAGCAGGGAAGGGCACGTGTCTGCGACCCATTCCTGTGTGCAGACCAAGGGAGGCGTGCACGGAGGAGGAGCGGGCATAGGCTAAGGCAGGATGGCACAGGGTGCTGACCAGTGAGTCTGGGAAGAGCTTAGGGCGATTTTATACTATTCTTAGAGCATTTCTGTTAGTTTGAAATAATTTCAAACTAATTGTTCTTGGGTGGAACAGCAGGTCCCAGGGAGTCCAAAGAGCCTCTGGTATGGGTCGTGCACAGCAGGGCCAGCAATGTCCACTGACAGCCTCAGGGTGAGTGGGATGTCCATGTGTGACCTCCACTGTGGAAGGAACCTGTGAAGTGGGCTGCAGCGCACCTCAGACACCTCCGCAGAAGGAGTGGGAGCCGGCGTCCAGCACATCCGGCCAGTCTCTGCCTTCGCCAGTCTAGCTCCTCCTCTTGATCTCAGAGGCTCGTTGAAGGAGCGGGGATGTCCCATTCAAGCCAACCCCCACCCTTCCATGCCAGAGGCCCACCCCGTGCTTCACCTGATCCCTTATTTCCAGTCCTTCCTGACAGCCTTCTCCTCGCCACAAGCTCCTACCTTACTCCACCTTCAGACCCTGTGCCCAAGACCACCTGCACCAGCGCCTCCCAATGAGGTGACCAGTGACCCATCTTGGCAGAGCCCATAAGCCCTCCGCTGGAGGACGGAGTGCACCTGGCACCTCCTTCCTCCCCTTCCATTTGTTTTCAGATATTTCCAGATTATCTTCTAAACAGATAAACTATATCATCACCTAATATTGCTTATAAGTATAAGTATCTATTCTGTGGAATAATCTCAAATTTTTAAAAGAGGAAAGTGTTGTAACCTATCGAACCCCAAATATTTATTTGTACCCTTCTATGTAAACAAACACACCAACACCACCACCACAACCCTGGCACGGTCCTAGAGAGAAGCTGCTGGCATGTTTAGGAAACTCCAATTCTCCATAGTGACAGGTGCAGAGAAGGCAACGGCCTTTACGAAACCCAAGTGGTCCCCGGACACAGGCCTTACCAGGGGTTGCTGGGGCTGCACTGCCTGGAGACCCAGGGTCTGCTGGCTCTGGGGCTGTGAAGACGGCTGGGGCTGGGGGGGCTGCTGCATCTGCAAAGAAAGATAAAGGATTATGCCCTTGAAAGGAAAGGGGGATGTCACCCTGAAGCTCCATTAACAGTTTATCTCACTGTCTGTTGCAGAACAAATGTGCGGCTTTCCAAAGGTGACACGTTCTGGGAAATGTGTCTTTAGGGACTTTGTCACTGTCCAACGTCACAGAGCATGCCTTCACAAACCAGGCAGTATGGCGTAGCCCACCACACACCAGGCTGGGGGTGTGAGTCAGACTGTGTGTAGCAAGAGACGGTGATACCCTCCAGAGACGTGGCGAACACAAGACCCATCAGGCCGCCGCCAACACAGACGTCGGACCCCGTCACTCCTGGTCATCACCGAGAATCACGTCCAGTCCCTGACTGTATGTGCTATGCACTTGTAACTGGTAGTGTGACAGGTGTCTTTACGCCACCATCACCACAAAGATGTCTGTGTTGTGCTAAGGTGATAATAAAGGCTATAATGTCACTAGGGGACATTATTATCTCATGGGACTACCTTTTATATAAGCAATTGGTCATTGACCAAAATATCATATGGGAGCATGACTAGATCCTGCCTCTTCCACCTGCCCCCTGGCAACACTGTCAAGGGCAAGACCTAAATCCACCTCCATATGTCCCTCCTGAAAGCCTTCTCAGACCGCCCTAGTCCTGCAAGTCTCCCCCGGGAGTCACTGCTCACGGGAGACACTGCTCACAGGGACAGGGACACCCTGTGCACCTGCTGTGTGGCTTCCTTCATGCCATGTGCCCTTCCACAGGCATGCTACCTGCCTCACAACCCCAGGGGACAAGCACCTACAGGCAGCCTCCCTTCTTTCCCTGTGATATATGACAGGAGACCCCTGAGGATTCAATCTTAATTTTTTAAAGGATGCCTGGAAGATGTTCTGGCACAAATGATGAGTGTAAAGTTGGAACCATGTCGTTGACAAGGTTGGCTCAAATGCTCAGCTCTGGGAAACCTTCCGAGTCACAGAAGCCACAGGCCAGACACCAGTCGTGACTCAGGAAATGGGAGCCACTGCTTTCTCCCCATGACCTTCAACAAGTGTTCCGTCCAAACACTTCTTCCTGGGGGTGACAGACCCAGAGATTCTCATCCTTTTCATTTTTTCCATTTGGTCTACAGGCTATGCCCCAAATTATCTGTCCTTTTTGAGAAGGGTAATAAATAGCCACTGACAGACACTAAGGGACCATGGTAGAGGACATGGAAACCTTGCAGAGCCCTGGCCAGGGCCACTCCCCACACGAGCAACACAAACTGAATTTGGATGCTCAGCACGAGGAAGCCAAGGCTCCCCAAGGCTCCCCACGGCTCTGTGGCCTCACAAGAGACCTCACGAGAGATGAATGTGACTTCAGAGCATCAAGATTGTCCCCCACGAAGGTAGTCGATCCCCAAAAAGGAGAAACCGATTCACAGGAGCAAACCAGTATTGTTTGAATCTCTGAGGAATATACTGTGGGTAAGAAGAATTACCACAGGACACACACTAGAAGAGACAGAAGCCCCCGGCCCCCAGGAGAGGCAGGTTCTCTACGCTTGGGTCTGAAGAATACCAAGGCAGAAAGTAGAAAAGTGACAGCGCTGCCACCTTCCTTGGTGACTTGGAAATGATAAAAAATTTTAAAAAAAATACAAATAACAGTCCTAAAAAATTCTGAAATATATCCTAAGAACCAAGGGGGGGCGGAAAGATGATATAAGAAAATACCACTCTTGAGTATTAACAGTCACGTTAGTAAAAACATTAATAGCAACATGACCAAACTAGTGCTTTACCTGAATTTCTTTATTTAAACCTTGCTACACACTTGAGAGGAAGGCACTAGTATTATTTCCATTACAAACTGGAGATTAGAGGGTTTTTTACCATCTTGGAGATGACATTTACACTTGGACAGGACTACACGTCTACTAGCCACAGTCCTCCAGGTCAATAACTATATATTACCAGTTCCCTGATGCAACTTTTTAAACATTTTATCAGGTCAAAAATTAGGATGCAACTAATGGCATCTTACCACTGATGGCATCTTATGAAACTCAGGTCTACAAAGAATTTGTGTTGGTTTCTGCTTGTCACTTTGGGATACCATCAACCAGAAATCTGTAGGTCACACTAGACTCAGACCCCAAACCTACTTGAGTTTAGGGTCCAAATTCTCAAGGAGATGTTTGTTCTTTCCTTCATCCAGTGCCAAGCCTGGGACATGCAAACTCTGTTGCTGTCCCTCCTTGCGTGACAGGTTTCCTTCCTGTTAACCACCCAGAGCACAGCCCTAGGGCACCCCAGCTCTACTAGATGCCCCAAAGTTGTTGATGTCTCCCTTCCCTGTAGTACCTAAGACAGCACTGCATCTCAGGTAGACTGGCAAGAGGGCAAGAGCAGGGTCAGTCCCTCCAGAAAGTCACCAAGCCAGCCCAGGACCAGCTGGTAATACAGTAGGAAGCAGCCTTGTGGACAATAAAGAGGAAGGGCACAGGACCACGCAGACCGCGTTTCTTAAAAAGGAACAAAGAAGCAAGAATGTGCTGGAGAAGCTCTTGTCTGGGACTTGCGAGTATTTACATTAAATAAGTGAAGGACAGATCTCTGAATTCTAACAGAGACAAAGGAAGTGTCCCTTTGCAAATTCCTCCCTATATCCCTGATTTCATAGCCTTTGTTTGTATCTTTTTCCTATGTAGGGAACTTGCACTCAATGGCAGCCCCTGGTTAAACAGTGGCTGGGGGAGCTGAGGCTTCTGCTCTCAAATCAAAGGCACCCAAGTGCCTCCGGGGCCTTTGAGAAAGTGAGAAGATGCAATGAAACACTTCTGCCCAAGGCAGGGCAGAAGCACAGAGAGAGGGAAACCCTGCCAAGCTGGGATAAACTGCACCAGTTTAGGTCTGAGTGTCAAACACACGGGCTCCTTGGAACTCAACCATGGAAATCAGGAGCACCACTACTGCGGATCTGTTCTGTATGAAGAGACAGAATTGCCCTCATCTCCCTGCCCCATACCTGCAGGAGTCTCTGCTGCTGTCGAACTTGCGGCTGCCGGGGCCTCAAGGGGTCCTGAGGCAGGGGCACGGAGGGGAGGCTCGGGTGTGCAGGCGTCAGCATGGCATCGATGCCCCCGCCCACCAGGGGGCTCTGCTGCAGAGCCTGGTGGTTCATCCTGGCAAAGAACAGTGTGACTTGTACCATGAGTGCCACCAGGACACAATCCACGCTCACAGAGCAGAGCAGCCCTCGGCGGTCGATGGTCACTTGCATCATGCCAAGGGAAAAAGACTGGAGGCTAAGGCAGAGACGTGACCACTCGGAAAAAAGGAAAGCAAACAGGCCTCTTAAAATAGCACTCATGTGCACACTAATTTTTTAATGAAGTAGTTGCTAACAGTGAGTCTCACTCACTGGACACCGGCCTTGGAGCAGGCCCTGTGCGGAGGTCTGACTGCACGGCTCCTCCCACAACAGCACCTGTGCTTAGCATTGTGCACTCCCCACATTAGGAATGAGAGAGCAGAGGTGGAGAGGAACCCTCACTGAGGTTCCTCAGACAGCAGATGGCACAGGTGGCATTTGAACCCAGAACTGATGACTTGAAGTTCAAGCTCCCGAGGTAACAGTATGCTGCTACTAGTTATAAAAGTAGGAAATATAATGAAATTGGAAATACATATTTCCAAATTAATTTATTTTCCTAAATGTGCTACCATCCGTCAGCTGTCCCAGTGTTTCATAGTTGGGGTTACTTGCAGCTGACACATAGCCACTGATGACTGAAATGCTTCTGTATGTGCTGCAAAATAAGAAGGCCACTAGGACTGGTGACATTAATTGTCAGGCCTTGATGCAGAACACAACTGCAGGGCTTCCTTCCAAGAAGGTGCCCATATAACACAACCCTGAGTGACTGCCCAGGCCCTGGCTGCCCCTGCTGGCCATGTATGGCTACTGAACACTTGAAATTTGACTAGTGTGAAGGATGAACTCAAGGTGCATTTCAATTTTCATTGGTCTATATTTAAACAGCCACGTATGCACAGCGGGTGTGGTAGTGGGCAGTAATACTCTGGGTCTAAGGGACCTGGTTACAACAGGAACCCCGGAATCCATGGGGATCCCATTTCTCCAACCATCCCTGAGGTGGGAAAGGCGACAACTCAGTTATAACAAAACCCTCATGTGCACCAGGCCCAACTGGTCCTGCAACCATACATTTGCAGCTGAGCAGCAAACTCTAGTGTAACATTTCCAATAACAATCAGTAGTCACTCAGATGCTTTTAATGAAAAGATAAACACTCTTTGAAAGGGGGGAGAGAATACTAGTGCTAACTAGCCCAGGACATCCATCCCATGGAAGAAGTAGTCCCAGCTGGGGCCCCTGAGCGAAGGAAATAAACGAGATGAGGAATTCCTGCCTGGGGCTCCGTGGATGCTACTGAAACTGAGCAGCAGCATGTCAAGCACACGGAGGCACACAGGCCCACAAGCCACCAAGCTGCCATGCCCCAGGTGAGGCACAGCAAACACAAGCACAGTCCCTCCTCGTGTCACCTCTGGGTGCCCGTCAGGGGCTGCAGGTAGGGCGGGGCCTGCTGCTGTACGTAGCCGCTGGGCTGCTGCTGCATCTGCCTCAGTCTCTCCATGAGCGCAGGGCTGGAGTGTGCGGCCGGGTAGGCCCGGGAGCCATAGCTGGGGGACAGGACCACGCCGGCCTGCGGCTGTGCGGGCTGTGGCAGAGGCATCTGGGTTCCGTACATGGTGTAGCCCTGGGGCATGGTCTGCAGGGAGGAAAGGGGACAAGTCAGCGCCCCAGGCACCACTGGGGCACGTGGGGCACAGGACCCGATAGGGCCTCTCTGACATGCACTGTCTTCAAAGGCTCTTAGGACTCAAGTACAAGAAAGACTTTTCTGGAGGCAGGGAGTCTGGCCAAAAAGCCAAAGAGTGAACAGGCCATGCACCCAAAGTTTTAGTTAAAATACGTGAATTGTCATTTGGCCAAACTGGGTTTCCAGGTCAGCTGCTCTGTTTGAGGGAAGGAAGGACACATGTCTGTGTACAAGCAGGCGACCTCCAGTGCACAGACACATCCATGTTCAACCCCAAAGTTAGCCAGAAGCCTACCCATGCTCAATGTGAATTTAAAATAACGGAGTACACTTTCCCAACCTGTGATTGTACCTTTTTGGGTCTGATGAATGTGCCTGTCATAACCAACTAGGTTCCAAAAAAATAAAAAGAAAAACCAGAAACTATTAATCTATTAATGGGAGGAAGGAAGGACATAATTGGTAACTGTTCAACACCTTCCTGTCTTGCTTGGACCACAGCCGGTCTCAGCACACCGTGAAGGAGCTGGCAGCCCAACAGGACTCACATCAACAATACTGGGCTTCTGATCATGACAGAACTACAGGAGAGCATAGGAACCCAGAAATAACAGCATTAGAAAAAAAGAGTCCCAGATTCCTCTTCCATTTAGATAATCTGTTACGTGTTTAGCATCTACGGCGTACGTGGTTTGTAGACAGGCTCTCTAGATCCTCACATCCTTCATCTCTATTTTACAGAAGGAAACCAAAGCTGAGGCTAACATGCGCAGCTAGGAACTGCCAGGAATAGCTGAGGTCTGATTCCAAGGCCCACCTTCTTGCTGTTCTACCGCGATTCCTCATCTGAGTTGTCTTTGAGTATGACCATTTCTATCATGAATTATATCATAAGTAACTCTCTGACTGCCACACATTTTACATCTATCATCATCAACAAAGATGTTTGAATTTATTTATGTTTTTAACTCAATAATTCCCCTAAAGTGTTTCATGCCCCTTAGTCAATCCTGAGACTTGCTCAACAATTATTAGTTAAGTTTTCTTAAAATGTCAAGTATAACCCATAAGTAGAGGTAACTAAGTTCTGGTCCATTAGGGAGTTGATGTCCAACGTCCTCGCCTCCTTCTGTGCATAAAGAGTGTTGAGATCCCGCAGACCTGTTAAGCTGGTGTGGGTACCTGTGCCTGCTGCAGCCCTGGATACTGAGGGGGCTGAGGGGAGGGCCGAGCCTGTGCAGCAAAGAGAGCAGCCTGGTCCCCGGGTGGGCCCTGGAAGACAAAGCCGAGGCAAACTCGAGGTCAGCACAGCAAGGCCTGGGTTTGAGCTTCTGGCCCATGATCCCGATGACCCTCGACACCGCATCTTATGACATGAATACAGAAGTCACAGATTTCTAAGCTGTCTTCAGTGTTATTCCTTGTTACTTCCCCATGTGTCTAGAGTCCTGAACTCTTCTTAGAAGACTACAAAGAGACACAATAGGAACCTGAGAGCCCAATATCTGCGCAGCAGAGAGGCCAGCTGGCTCCCAGTGTGCTCCGGGCAGGCCACCACTCTGGGTGAAGGGCGTGAGCACCGCCAGAGTGCAGGCATGAAAACCCCAGCTGCCCTGTGCCCACCAGGCACGAGAACATGTGGACACATCAATGACACATGGACACCCACGGCTCTAAGGGGAAGCTCCTTCACAGTGACCTAAAAGTCACCTATTTAGCTACAGATTCAAGGGGAAATGTGAACTACCATGACCCTAACAGTCCATTAGAATACAGTCACTAAATTTACATGTTGTTAACTGCAAATACAATTCTAACCAACTATCTGTAAAATAAAACCTATGATCATCTGTCCACCAGTCTTGACCCATGTTTTGGCCTTAGGAAAATAAACATATTTTAAGAGGAGCTATTTGCTTGTTGCATGTTTTGATGGCAGGTTATTCTGTGGAAACTTGCAGTGATAATCACAGAAAGAAGCCTGGCTTCCTACCATCATTGGGTTTTTTTCAGGACTGATAAATTGTCAAGATTGAGGTACACTGTAGAATTATTTTATGATTGGCTTAAAATAGATACCCTAATTTTAGAAAGTGCTGAATTATGGTTTCTTAAAATGGTTTTAATGCATTTGATGGAAAGTGGATATTTCTAATGAGAAGAAGGGGATATACATTTGGCCTAAGAGGGTGAGCACCACCCACGAGAAAGAGCGCGGCACAGGCTGGGCTGGGCTCATTCTCTCCAGGGGGGAGCAACAGCTCCATGTTCCTCAAGTGGTTGGACACCGAGCTCCAGGAGCTGAGGGGCATCGCAGGCACACCCACCAGACCTACAGAGCGGACCAGACTCCAGAGCCCGCGCTCTTACAATGTGAAGAGACGCCTCCACAGGTGGCATGAGGGTGAGAAGACTGCAGTGCTCACCAGGTAACCTACTCCTTAAGAACACATAGCTACTTAAAATTAGCCATTTAAGGAGAATTTCTCTTAAGACTTGTTAATGAAACGTTAAACCCAATGTTTTCATCAGATGGCCTATACTCTGATCCCCATAAAATGACTTGGGTTACTGATGGGGCTCCCACCTCTCCCCAAGCATCCTTGCATGGGTGGAGGACAAGTTTCTGAGACTACCTCCTAAGGTATCTGCACAGGACAGCTTCAGGAAGAATCCAACTTGGCAGAATAGGGTTCTAGGAAGGTACTGTTAAACCCAACATATCCCTATGGGGCTGGGTCTAATAAAACAGCCCAAATTTTCTGTGTGGTCATGGGAGCCTAAACCTGCTCTCCCCAAAGTATCCAAATGCTTCTTGATCCTCCACAACCCTTGCCAAGGAATCATCAAATCTTTAAACATTGGCCCTTTTAAGTCAATGCTCCTTGACATTTCACCACATAAGGACCCTGACAAACATTATTGGGCTTTGTTGTGGGGACAAAGATATGAATATTATCATTTTAACAGTCTAGAAAGAAAAAGACTATTTATATGTGAGTTGGCATCTTGGATCAGTAGGTGGTCTGCAAACCTGTGCTCAGGTTTGGCTTTGAGGGAAACAGGATGTGATCTCTACGTGACAGCTGCAGGCAGATGCACAAACAGACGTTTTCTAATTCTTCCTCCTCTGCCATTGAAGAACCTTAGAGAATACACAGGGATGGGGAGTAGAAAAACTGGAATACTAATGACATGCTAATACCAACGATGTGCTAATACTATGAGACTGGACAATATTCATTTACTTTACTGGTAAATATTAGTTGAGGTCATAGAGATTTAAGAAATATGAACTAAAATTTATCTTAAGAATCATAAAACTCACATTTCAAGGAAAAGCACCATAACTTTAAAATAAGGTAGAAAGAGATTTAAAAAAAAATAGTTTTGACTCTCTAAAATTCACCTTTAGACATTTGCCTAACAGGTGTGCTATTCAGGTGGATTTCTTTTTTTTTAAATTTATATATTCTAATTTGTTATATATGACAGCAGAATGAATTTCAATTTAGAGTATACATATAGAGCATAATTTTTCATGTCTCTGGTTGTACACGAAGTAGAGTCATTTGTAGTTCCCTCCCCGGTGACTTCTCCCACTGTCCTACTCCAGTACAGCAGGACTAACTGAGGTGGACAGTGGACCCTGGGAAGATGGCGAGCCCTGCTGTCTGGCCAGCAGGGTTCCCTGAAGCGTCCAGTCAGCCCAGGCTACCCTGAAAGGAAGCACCCTCCTGTTCCTGCCAGATTGAAACTCATTCCTACTTTTGTTTGTTTTTCCCAGAATAATGCCAGGAACACACCATTTCAACTTGTAGAAAAAGTCCTATTTCTTAAGGAAAAAATAAATAAGAAAGTTTTTCAGTAACTGGAAAGGTTTGACAAATGCTAATCAAGGACCCAAGTGCAGGAACAAGGGGAAAAATCAGTACAATACTCTCAGCGTCAGTGGATGTGGTGTTGGCTGTGGTAAGCCAAGACCATACAACGTATCCTACAAACTGGACAGGCCAGGACAACAGGGACAAAGTGAGGCCAGGCCTGGCACACCAGGGCAGAAGGTCACTTTGATTATTTGTTTTTTTCTAAATACATCTTGAGCTTTATTTATTTTTAATCAATTCCCAGCAGGGGAGCTGGCACTCAGCAGGGGCACAGTGACTACCTTATGAGGAAAACTGAGACTGAGAGCCAGAGGTAAGTGGGATTTGTATTTCAGCATCAAGTACTTTACCAAGTGTTCTCCAAAGCCCTGCAGTTCTCAGCAGGACCTTTGGTTTGGAATGCTTTCATGTCTGGTGACTACCATGCTAAGGATCCTTCCTCTGCCTGCATCAGCATCTGGACAGGAGCTCCATTTCTCCTCTGCAATTACTCTGCCTAGCTGAAACAGTCAGAGGCAGCATCAACTTCATAGTTTTAATCATGGAGAGAACAGTCCAGGAAGCCAGGCAGGCTCTGCCTTATCACTAGGAGAACGGGAGACACCTGAGGCCCTGGTGCTCAGGGACCTGACTTGCACACATTCAGGGAACCATCCACATCAGCGGGTGGTCATGAGCTGGTCCCTGCATTGCTGAGCTAAACTCCTGTCTCCTCACTTCATTTTTATGCACTTTGCTTTGGACTTGCCCCTATGAACAAAGCGTAATCCATGATATCTTCTAGAACGTTCTCTAAATACTCCTGAGGCAGCTGTGCTGTCAGGGCTGACTCACCTTCTTAGCTTCCATGAGAACAATCTTCTCTCCAATGGCTGGATTTTTTTAACCAGACAGGAGAGGTATCTAAGGTCAAAGAAATGCTGAACCAGAGTCTTGTGCACAATTTGAAATCTGTGTATCCAGTAAACCTAACATTTTTGATAAAACATCTTCATCCTTTTCATTTTTCTGGATCTGCTTGTCTCTGTTAGCCACCACCCTCTCGGTCACCTGGGCACATGGGAAGGTCTCTTTCTAAAGGAGAACTGGTCTTACCACCAGTTAGCAGTCAGTAAGCAGCACGCTTCAGAATCATCACTAGTGACGATTTCTCCCAATTCTTAATTCGTGACTTTGCAACAGTGTTTAAGGGTTGCAAAGAGACAGACTGAATCTGGGAAACCACAGCCAGATTTTATACCTGTTTCTGAAAATGCCATTTTAGGGAAAATAACAAAAGTTACACACAACAAAGCCAGTGAGTCCTGTTTTATGAATCACCAGGCCAGAGGGACCCACTTAGGACTCCTAGTTGCAGAGGAAATGGTGCCCAGGGCTAGAACACCAATGGTGTGTAACAGAAGTTATGGTCATCTCATCCTTGTAAATTTACAAGGAAAATTCCAGAATTAAACTTGATAAGCCGTTCAACTTGACACTGTATTAGTTTTCACTTCAAATATAACTTTGTTGGCTTCAGTTAACACTGCCATTAATGCTAATTCTAAAATCAACATATCTCAATAACGAACCTTTACAATGTATTCTATTTACATGCCCATAAATGACAAATCTAATGAGTTAAGTATATTTTCATTAAGTTCTAAAAGGAGAAATTAAAGAAAAATTAAAGGTAAAAAGACAACAAAGATACACATTTTGATTAACTTGAATGAATACAAAATCACAGAACCTTCTTTTGACTTCCAAATACCTAGCTGACTAAATATTTTGTCTGTAGTAATACTTTAAGAAAGTTAATGATGCAAACTGTTTTCTATATGAATGACATTATTATCTGAATAATAAGTGCACTAGAGCAAACATAAGCTATATCCAAAATAGTTTTAAATTTGATAGCTCAAGTTATTTTTATTTTTTATTTTTTTTTCGTGGAGGGCTACTGGGAATTGAACTCAGGGGAACTCGACCACTGAGCCACATCCCCAGCCCTATTTTGTATTTTATTTAGAGACAGAGTCTCACTGAGTTGTTTAGTGCCTCACTTTTGCTGAGTCTGACTTTGAACTCGTGATTCTCCTGCCTCAACCAGCCAAGCTGCTGGGATTACAGGCGTATGCCACTGCACCTGGCTTGATGGTTCAAGTTTTGAAATGAGTAAAATCCACATGTGTTCTCCCTATACTTTAGAGTGTCAAGAAAAATTGATATTTTCGGGAAAGTTTTCAAATTTTCCTCTACTTAAACTACTACTGGAGAAATAACAAGTATTTAGTAGCGCCCGTATTTTTTAAGTTTGAAGATGCAGTTGGGGCTATTTTCAGTGATGTACAGACAACAGGACCCATTCATTGGAACTGAAACAAGTGGCTGTACACCCACATC